GTGAGTGCAAGGACCACGCTGCCTTGTGCACACTATTGAGCCTCTGTCAAACCTCCCACCGACAGCTGCAAGCACTTGCTCCAGTCGCCCCTTTTTGGTATGAGGGTTCTCAGCAAACACAGTCACTTTTTGTGCATAGGCTCTGTCATGTCTCTGGTCCCCTCCACTGCATGTCTACTGAGGTGGTGGAGCCATTTAACCAGGGCTTATTTTCTAGGCAATTCCCCCTACACCTTCGTTCTGCTCCCCTCACTCTGTATGTGCTCAGTTTCCCTGTTTCCACCAATTTTTGTTTTTACATAATGCCGGTGTGATTTTGGAAAGTGAAGGCCTGGCTTCAGCTTCGCTGAGCAGACAAAGTGCTCAAAAGTCTGGAGTGGCTGCCAGCCACATAAGACACTGCTCCGAGTCCTGCATGGATGTTTACAGTCCAGTTAGAAAAGCACGGTGCTTGCGTTATGCTAATCTCCTGGCTCTGGCTAACGAAGTACCTCCGCCAGCCAGGCAGGACCTATCGCAGCATGGAGAATGACATCACTTGGAAAAAGAGCTGCTGCACAAGGCTGCCAGTGATTGTGCAGCATCCCTCCTCTCTGCTAGTGGGAGGCTTCTCTGTCTTTGGCGTACACAGGCACTGCTTTGTAAATCGGAATAGTTTTAGTTACCTCAGAAGTTTTAACTCGAGGGAGCATGGGATGAGGAGACAGATGTGACCCGCCTCCCCTTTCTCAGTCAGGCTGCAATAATGATACAGTGCCATAAATCCTGTGGTTTGTTTGTTAAGCTCTGTCACCTGGAGGTTTGTTTTCTCTGAACAGACATACACACACACTCCCAACCACACCCACCCCTACACACTGTTTTTACAGCGTGTAAAAATCTGCCTTTACAAATAATGGCAAGAAATGCGGGTACCAAGAAAGCATAGCTGGTGTGACGCTGCATGCAGGCTTACCCACGTGCTGCTTGTGATCGGCACAAGGAACTGCAGAGAAATAAAATGCAAGACAGCCGGGCTGCTTTGTGAAATCCTCCAGCTCAGTAATGCCGAAACGCCGTCAGGTACCCTGCTCTCTGAAACCAGCACACGACTCAGCATCGCTGTTCTGCCCATTTCTTCCCATACGGACATGGTTATAATAAACGGCAGCTAAGCACAGACGTCTCGCTGGCATACTGTCAGGCAGCCTTTCCTGGAGGAAATTTTTTTCCCTCCTGCAAGCTGCTGAGGTGGACTCCTTAGCTCCTGCGATAGACTGAATGAGACTGCAGTTCCCCCGTCAGTTTCATAATACTCAGAAAGCATCCATTTACATCATTGTGTGCAGTGCAGGGCAGCAGCTGCCAGGAAATTTGAAACTATTTTGATTCCAGTTGACTAGAACAGCAGCAATTGAATTAGCTGGTATTGCTATAGATAAACTGATGATCTGTGCATTTTGTTTCTTTGACCAATGGGTAACTGCTGGAGCTACAGTAACCTCTGTGAGTAAGGAGACTGTTCAAGCAAATATATCTAATTTCTCGAGCTAGCTTATATATATATATATACTGTATAGAGACACTCACACAATTCTTTTGTAAAATGTACCTGTAAACAAAATTGTCTGTCTATGCTTGTAACTTGTGTTTTTCTTCCTAGAATTTCCTTTTATTATGCTGTAGGCAAGCTTGTTTGACATGGAATGGTTATTTACGTATGAAATATCATATCTATGCCTGATTTAAGTAATGAATTTTTTCAACGTCTAGTCCTCAGAAAGGCTGCCAGCTACTACTAGGTTTTATTTGCCCGGTCTCAGTTTTCTAGCCACTCACCCCCTTTCTATTTTAGTGCTATCTCTTTCAATTTAATTCTTTTTTTTTTTCTTTCCTTTGTTCAAAGAAGCCACTTTCAATGCAAAGTAGAAATTGGTGTTACCTGAGAGTGTGTGTCCTTTCTTTGTTTGTTTGGTGATGGGTACTTTTTTTCCCTGTTCTTCTTCTGTGCGGTCCTTAAATTTTTGTTGTTGCCTTTCTAGCCTTGTTTGTAATGCAGTCATATTGGGGGATGGGGTTGGAGAGGATATGCCAGTAGCTGCAGCAAGACATGGTGCTGTGGTGGTAGATGGGAGTAAGGGAGGAGTTTCACTTAAAGAGCTCAAGCTCCTCTAAGCTCTGGTACCCGAAATAACTCTCTGAGCAAAGGGAGAGTCTTTACACCTTTTAGGAGTGGTGGTGGTTTGCTGCAAGGAGTGGAGACCTTGGCAGTCATGTGCATGGTGGTGCCTAATGTAATGGGGAGGGACAGCTGCTTTGGTGCTTATGTGAATTGTTTCTAATCAGGCAGTGAGTTAGACAGTGTTCTGCAGGATGCTGTGAAGACAGGAATTCCACTGACGTGTGCTCGCATATGGCAGCAGCAGCACTCCTTCCAGAGCAGGGCTGCTGGCACCTCACTGTAGAAACAGCCTTAAATTTCTACTGTGGAAGTGCTCCTCTCTCACCCAGGTGAAACACAGCTTGCCAGAGTGGCAGAGAGGACCTGTGTGCAAGTTCCCTCCTCCTGCATGTCTCTCTGTGCCTTTATAGGTGTGTATGTGCTCTGTATGTGTACCTCTTCTGGATTCTGCTGGCCTTGCCAGAGGGTAAAGTTTGCTTGGGATGAAGTTCAGGAGCAGAAATAAATCAGAAACTTGCTCAGGATTGCTTACTGCTGTCAGCAGCGGCAGATGGGGCTGTGCAGCAGCGCATTTAGCGTTCACTGCCAGAAATAAAGCCGCTTCTGTTTCCCTCATGTTGGTTCAGAAGCTAGGATAGCAATTAGCAGAGATGAGCCTGGCCCCTTGGCAGGGTCTGTGTGCTGTGCCTTGTCAGGGCTTGGCCTCAAGCGCATGTTGGCTGCATCCCAGCTCCGTGGGGGGCCGGAGGGCGATGCTCCAGCCTTCCTACCAGTGAGGTGGGGTGCATGGGTTGGAGAGAGGCGCGTGCTCCTGGGACACTATGCATTGCCTTTCTTCGGGATGTGGCCAGAGCGTGGGAGCATGGGGTGATACCAGCTGGGGCAGGTCTGCAAGCTGAGAGTGGCTGTATTTGGAGCTGTGTCCTTCAAGGTTTTACTTTATCATCTGTAGGGATGAGCATCCTAGTGGCATTTCTTCTCTAAAATATCCGATCTCTGGACATGTACTGAGAGAGCAGCTAGCACTCATGCCACTGCATTAGAGCAGGCCTTGGCTGTGAGGTGGGCAGCCCGGGCCTCTTGCTGACTTGGGCTGGTCCAGGTGCAGGTGTAGGGCATTGCAGCCACAGACCATCATTTTCATCCATGAGCCTGTCCTGGTGGGATTATGGCACAATGGCAACTTGGCACCTGTGCCATGAAGTGAGTAGGCTGGGGATGCACCAAAGCACTGCGTGGCTAAATTGTGTGCAAAGGAGGCTGTTTGTCTGGGGCGTCAGGCACTCAGAAAAAGCGCCATGACTGGAAACATTAGTGTCGGGAGAGAGACCTTGCTCTTTTCTTTGGCTTTTCCCAGTGGACTTGTGCTTGTGTGTTGGAAACCCTGCCATGGAGGCAGGCTGGTCATGTGGAAGTGAACAAGGCATCCATGCTCCTCACAGCTCCATGGGACTCAGCAGCAGAGAAGCAGTCCCTGCCTAGTCCAGTCACTGTCCTCAACAGCAACCAAGTCATCTAGATGAAATCTGACCCACTTTTTTTTAATGGAGTAATTAAATCAGCAGCATGGAGGTATCTAGAGCACCTACTGGGAAAGAGGCTGTGTTTTGGCGTGGTCTGAGTTTGTCAGTTTGATCTTGCATCATGCACCATGTGTGGTATTTACCCTGTGGTTAGATCTGCTGGATAGTAAGCTGGCAGGTATGAGCTGCTGCTCATCTTTACAAACCACCGGCAGATAAATAGCCACACTGGTGCAGTACTGAGCTCATGTTAAATTATCCTTCTTTTCACCTTGAACTCAGCTTATCATTAACCACAGCTACATGGCTTCCTCCTCAGAAGTGGCTTGTGGCCATCTGCTTGGAGCAGAGATGGGGATCCATTTGCAACACATCACCTAGAGATGCACCTTGAGTGAGATAAATCTTCCAAATGCAAGTTGGTGTCTGGTTTCAGATCTGTCACTCCCGACATTTTTCAAAGTAGATGTTTGGACCTGGCCCCCTGGTTGTTTGTTTTATAACACTTTAAACTCCAGGCCATTTTTTTTTCCAGAAGGGTGCAGCAAATGCAGCTGTTGCTGGTTGTTTGGTTTTTTTGTTTTTTTTTATTGAAAAGCTCAGTTCCTCCGTGTACTGGAATATCAGGTGGTCAAGTATCCTTCACTGTGTCATCTGTGAGCTCCCTATGAGGACAGCTGATTCTCTGTTAACCCACAACAATGGGAGCCACTGGGTGCTCAGTGCTTAGAAAATGGGAGCATCTGTTTTCACTCCTGCTTTGTTTACATCGGTTTAAAAGGCAACACGTGGATGGGAGCGATAGCCTGTGTTTTGTACAGTGGTGAGTTTGCTGCAACAGAAAATGTGAACTACTTGGTATGCATACATCTCTGCAACACGAGCTTCAGTTACCTCAGTTATTACAGGAAGAGGATAATGCTGGCAGAAAGTTGAATTGCTCAATAATTGCTTTTTAATTTAGCTAATTGGTTTTGTCAAGACTGTGGAATATACAGGCTATGGCTGATGATCGCCCCTGTGTTTCATTTTTAGAAGTGAGAATGACCTAAAATATTTTTTGAATAAAACCAACATGTATGATACATGCTGTGGATGGATGTCAGACCTCTGCGTATCTGCTTTCTTCAGCCTTTGCGCCTGGCCTGTGGCCTCAGACTGTTCATGGGCCACTGGGACCCTTTCTGAAGTGTAGCAGACACATCTGGCATTCCTTCCTGGGCAGTGCATACTCCCAGTTTGGCTTTTCGTTTGTGCACAGAGTAGATAAAAAACTTTACAAAAGTGCCTTCTTTTTTTTTTGATGCAGGTAGTAGCCATGGAAGCAGCACTTTGCTCCCTCATACCATCATCAATGAATTTCCAGAGTACGGCACCGTAGAGCCAAGCGGAGATGTGCCGAGGGCTTCATCGCCTCACCAGACAGAGCCTGTGGCACACAGTCCAGAACAACAGGACAGTCACCACCGGGTACCTGTCAGGCCCTTTTGTCAGCATGCTGCTCCTGCAGAGAATTTGAGACCTGATGCTGGGACAGAGCAGCTGCATGCCCCAGGAGAAAGTTTGCAACCCGTAGGTAACCTGACAGAGATTATGAAATTCTCTCAACGGCTGGAAGCAACAAAGGTGCAAGAGAGAGCAAACACTTCTCTTGATTCAGAGATGCAAATGGAAAAAAAGAACGTTACTGGCAGCCAAAGTGGGCAGGCAGTCAGAGAACCAGTTCCAGCAGGCCAAGAAAAACGCTCAGACATGCCTCTTCCATCTGAACGAACAACTGAGGAAAAAATGCATTTGATTGTAGAGAAAGATCTGGTTCCAATATGGACTGGAGAAATGCAGTCTGAATCCTTGCAAGCCATCAGTAATAAAGCTGAGGAGGTCCACACAGCACAGGAAACAAGCTGTCATGGACCATCTGTGACAAACCTGGAAGCAGCCAGCAGAGTGGAGGGGTGGGCACATTTAGAGGAGTTTTCAGCATATAGTCAAGGCAAAATGCCAATGGGTCCTGAGAGGAGGCTCTCTAAAGAGGCAGCTGTGAGTAAACATGTAGAATTTCAAGGGGTGGAGATTTTATGGCTGCAAAAAGCCAAAGAGCAGAGAAGAAAGAAGCATTCACTGCTGGAGACGGTGTCCGTGGAGCGGAAAACTTTCCTGAAAACGTCCAGCCACCCTACACCACCAATGGTCTCACCAGGCACGGTTTCTTCACTGGACAGCATTTGGAGTGAGATCTGTGAGGACCCAAAGCTGGGACCTGCTGCCTCTGGAGCTACTCCTCTGGCACAGCTCAATGAAAGTGGGGAGGATGAAGTTTTTGTGAAGGACAAGAAGAACTATGGCGAGGAGGAGACAGCTGAGCTAGTGAGAGGCCAGGGCAGGTGAGATGGTGCCTTGGGGAGTGCAGGGGGCAGGTGGGGTTTCTCTCATTCCAAACACGTGGCTTGTGACTACCCCTTTAGAAGCTAATGACAAACAATGATGTTTGTCTGCTGCCTGTGGTGTGGTGGCACTAGTAGCAGTTCATGCCTGGCGGTGGCTGGTGCACAAAGTTGGGACTGAGCTGCATCCACACCACCTTGCTGAAATTTGAAGTTCCTCTCAGGTTTGGAAACATAAAGATTTCTCTTGCTGCTTGCAGAGAGATGGCTCTGTGATGAAGCATCTGCAGCAGGTGTAGTTTGGATCCGGATATGGCAGGGGAGCAAAAACAAGAAGCACTTAGGGATAGGCAGCATTCAGGCCTAGCCGTAGGCATCTGGACAGATGTTCTGGTTTTGGTTAGAGTTCATGCAAGAACGGTGTGAGCACTTGTGAGAGATTTGATAATAACTATTATTTAACCAAGTTCCTTGTATGTTGTAAGAAGGTAAATGCTGCCAAATGCTTTCTATTATGTATGTTTATGTAATCTTAGCTATATATATATTGCAAAAGTTGTGCGCTGCTTTTTACAAGAGGATCCTGATTTGCTCACTTTACTTTTCCAATGCACATCTGTAACAAAGCAAAGGGTCCCCCAGTGTGCTCTGAGAAAAACCACTCTGACCTGGTGGGGTGTCTGCTGCAGAAAAAACAACATCTCAGTGAGGGAGACTCTCCTGCCTCTGCATCTCAGGATCCACAGAGTTTTGCTTTGTCTAGCGTGTGGGATTGGTTGGGTGGGCAGCCTTGGTGCCTGGCACATGCTGTGAGAAGTCTCACCGTATTTGATGCAGCAGAGAGGAAAACTCTCCACAGGGTGATGCATTGGCATCCCCTATGCATTGACGAGTAGGCTGAATCTTCCCTCTTCAAGTCTGGTTGTCCCAGCTTGGGAAGAATATAATTTTTAATTATATTTGCTTCCCTTTGCGTTTTGAAGGCATGTCCGTCAGCCGTTTGCCAGAGACCACAGCCCTAGGACTGCAGAGCTGGCAAACTGTGTTCCAGGGGGCAGAGGCCCCATCTGGGTGCACATTTCTGGACTGTGCAGCCTCTGGCATGGCAGTGGTGCTAATGGAGACTTTAGGCATTTGTGAGTGCTCTTCTTTGCGCATATGCAGCTGATGTTATCGGTTAGGTTAGGCAGTATTAGGCTTTTTCCTCACATCCTCCTTTTACACAGAAGATTATTTATTTTTTTGTGTCCCTAGAGAGGGAGGTGGTGCCAGTCATGAACAGAGGTGATGCAAGGAAAAACTAGCATTTTAACTGCAGTGGCCTTTCCTGCGTGAAGCCAAGTTGACCTTTCTGTTTGCAAAGGCGGAAAGTTAAAGAGGTCCACCTAGAAGCCTAAACCCTTGAGCTGAAACGAGCTGTTTCTGATTCATTTCCAGGATGATGGAGGAGGGGGAAGCAGTCTCAGGAGGATATGAAGATGTCCTTGGGCAGAGGCACTCTGACATCTCCACTGATCTGTACAGCTCACAGTTCGAAAACATCCTAGACAATGCATCTTTGTACTACAGCGCGGAGTCTCTGGAGACGTTATACTCGGAGCCCGATAGCTACTTCAGCTTTGAGATGCCACTCACTCCCATGATCCAGCAGCGCATGAAGGAGGGCAGCCAGTTTTTAGATCGGACGTCAGCCTCGGGGCAGGCAGATGTCCTGCAGCTTCCCCCTGACAGGGAGGTGAAGGCCTACGGTGAAGGCGTCGCCAATGGCTTAAGGGATGTAAGCGAAACACTCTTCAGAGGAGATGTCATGGAAATCCCTCATTTGGAAAGGTAAAAGCAGTGGGTGAGCTTTCTGTGTGCCTGCTGATTTTTCTCCGTTTGTTTACTTCAGCAGACTGTCGCAGAGTGTAGTTTTACCGCTTTCAATGCTGCATGTTTTCTACACGGAATAATTTCCCGTGTAACAGAGCGAGCTGCAGGAGAGAAGTGAGCCATTCAACCCTGCCTTTAGAAAAGTGCAAATTTACTTTACAAAAGTTTTTTTATAGGTCATACTTGCGTTGATAAAAGGCTGGCTGGTGCTGTTGCATCTCCTGGAACTGTCCTTGGAGGAGTTTGTTACCACCTACAGGTGAACCTTGTTCAGATCCCATTATACCTGAATTTGTTAGTGGCAGTTTTAGGAACAATAACACCCTATGCACACGGATGAGTTGTCCAGAGGCAGTTTATAATTTGAATGTTAACTGGGCATGGCTTTTCCTGTCTTGAGGTCAGTGAGAGTTTTGCTGAATACTTCAGCTGGGACGAATTTACTCCTAGTACATTCATGGGATTAAACATTTAGCTGCTTCTTTCTTTAGTGCACTAGTTACTGATTGAGGGCGGAGGGAGCATTACAAAAGTGTTAATAATTTCTGTTTAGGTAAAGGGAGAGATAAGAAAACCTATTAAGATGAGGAGTCATGTGAGAATTAAAAGCTAGGCTAAGCAGTCAGAAAATGCTCTGTAATTGCAGAACATCACATCGTGAGCAAAGTTTCCTCCTCATATGTGGTCAAAGAACGTGAGGAGTGTGAAAGGCAGCAACAGGCAAAGTGTGGGGTTGAACCAAAAGCGGTAATCTGTGGACAGGTGGGGGACCTTGTGAGTGAGCCATATGTCTCACATCTCCATCCTTCAGGTACGGGATGTTACACAAGGGTCCCTAATCTGTTCCTTTAGATGTGTCTAGTCTGCTCTGGGTTTCCTTGGAGTCAGTGGTTGAAGGTCTTTTATATGTTATTCCTTTTGTGTTAGTGTGAAAAAAGTCCTTTGAGCAGAAGTAGTTTTGTTAACTTTATGGATTAAGGTACAGTTTTCCTTTAAAAGAACAATTAGAAGGACTTAGCAGTTTCAGTTGTTTTTTTCTATCAATCCTACTTGAAAAAAGATGTTTAAATTTTGTACAACCCTGAGCTTGGTGCCAATAGGCAGTAGGTGACTGCTAATCTGCTACAACCGGTACAGAGCCAGAAACTGAAGTCAGTCCTGTTACTTGCAGCTTCTTACTTGTGCTGAAACCAGAGATTGCTGTAGACGGAGCAGTGGAGAACAAGTAGCACATACGGGCCCCAATTCTTTTATCCCATAACTGCAGCATGTTGTACGTAAAAAGTACTGTCAAGTAAGTCCCACATCGGCTCAGCAAGAGAGAAGTTATTGTGTGCTTATACAAAGCTTAGAGGTGCGTTAAGTGTGGATTTCATTAGGAATTAAGTTAATTTTAGTTTAAATTTGCAACCTTAGTAATAAACCACTAGAGGATTTTTAAAATCTTCTTTTTTCCACCTTAATAAAAAAAAGAAGAAAGAGGTGTCCCCAGTAGCAGTTTGTTAGGAAGCTCTGCTGTTTCAGGCTGTGGGGCTCTGTTTGGGACAAGCGCAGAGGGGTAGGTACTGATAAAGGTGTTGCTGCAGCAGTACAGCCATCCACACAGGTGCCCTGAAGGGTTGTTCTCCAGACAGTAGCCTTATTAACCACCCCTCTTCACCGTGATATTCTGACACCGTGTTGTATTATGCCGGAGTACAGGTAACTGGCAGATAGATCGCGTGTGTTTCACTGTTGGAGCCAGCGATAAATGACAGCGTTTCAGTCCGCGGGTGGGGAGCGCTGTGTGCATGCTGGGGGTCGCACGGGGTTTATTTGCAGAGGGGTCAAGGTGGCGCGTCGCCGTGACTCTCAGGTGAACCCGAAACAGCCAGCTGACCTGCGGGTGCTGTTCTGAAAGTTTGCGGGCATGGTTGCGTTGCCCTGTAGCAACTTGCCTGCGATATATCGCGGAGCCACGGGAGGTCTCTGTGCCCCTCTGCGGAGCTGCCGGCTCTCCCCGCAGCCGGCGGTTTCCGCAGCCGCCCCGTCCCCCCCCGCTGGGGGGGAGAC